GGACAAAAGTGTGATAATGGACACAAAAAGTGTAATGTACAGTCTGAACACAAGAAAACCTTTGCCCTGTGAGGATAGAAAAACACTAGAACAGGCTGCCCAGAGAGGTTGTGGAGTTCATTGGTGGTGACTGGCAACAGTCCTGGGCAACCAGCTCCTGCCAACCCTGCTTGGGCCAGGGGCTTGGACTAAAGGATCCAAGAGGTCCCTTCCAACCTCCACAAGCCTGTGGAACTGCATACAGAACACTGAATGATTATGATTTTAAATGATTTCATGGTAGCTATGACTACCAGTGGACAGTCTAAACACAGGAACTAATTAACAATTCAAACAGAATTCACAACCAGCCAAGCCAAACACTAGAAGGGAGTAGTTGAGTCTTTGGTGAAGCTCTGAATTTCCAAACCACTTAACTCTGTTTGAAGATGGTCCTTCACAACCTCTGAGATGCTTCTACACATTTACAAAGTTTATACCTAATACCTCTTCTCCGTGCATAGATTGAGTCCGATCTTACAGGTCCAGTGAGGAATATGAACTGTCAGAATTTCAAAACATTTCTCTCTCAAGCAATGAGAGAGGTGATAAATCCACCATTTACTGGTTCCATCAGCAACAATTCAGTTCCTTGTCTCGGTGTAGTTACATCCCCGAGACATGATTTTGTGGGTGAGAATGTGAGAAACCCTTTAATAAGAGCTAATGCCTCGTTATTTTGCCCAGTAAAATCATAGAATAGTCCTAATTAAATCATTAAACCCTCGTGCTCTTTTGTACAGACTACCTTTTTCATAGTACAAATGATGAAAATGTTTCAACAATGGGACTTGAAATATTTCTGAAGGAATCTTTCTCCCATTGTTGCACATTAGACATGTTTTATGAACTATTAGTGCTTAGGGTGTGAAGAAGAGACTTCTCACTTCTTCCAAAGCAACATAAGTAACATATGGAAGCAGAACACAACAGAGAGGAAATGTTTATGAGTTAGAGGAGCACGTGCTACCAGCACCAACTTAAATAAGAGGTATCAGATATTTCTGATGAGGAAAATCTTTGTGTAAGGTGAAATGGGCTCCATTCTGTTCCTTTTGTTCCAAAGATGAGATGGATTTGAAAAACCTACCTGGCTCCTTGATTCAAGGACTCGCCACATGAGATAATCTCCAGCACATTCCTATTGGCAAGCAGATCTTTCACCCTTTTTTCTCCATGCATTACAGAAAATATTAAATCAGTTTGGTGTCCATAAAAACTTTTGATCCTAGGAACAGCCTAGGGTACTATCATTATCTTCAGGAGAACCATTTGTAGGCCTTCAGTAGGTAGCACTAATTTAATTTCTTTGCTAGAGAAAAAGTGGCTGATTTTCTAGATCAATATTTGATTGAATATGTTTGAAATGGCAGCAGATAAAGGCCCCTTTTTCTGGCCCAAAGAGTTTTTGAACCACAGAGGTATACTGTTCTAGCTCCCCTGGGATCTGACTGCAAGGAGGTCTCAAAGATCTGTTAGAAACCTTCCTGCTGTTCCTTGTGTTCTTCCAGCAAGACTTTCTAAAGGTTGAGATGAGAAGAAAGAAGATCAAGAACCAAAATGTCTTTATATCCATTTTTTAATCTTTCCTGGTGCTTCTCTTAACTAAAAATAATCGTTTATAACACCAGTTTACAAAAAAACTCCTCTAATAGGATCATGTGAAGGGAAGGAAAAAAGTGAGGGCCAGGCCTTCAGATTTGCTTTAAGAAGATGCTCCAACAACTTTTGCAAGCCATTGACATTTGAGGGCCTTTTTCTCTTTCATGACACTAATTAAAGCAGAATATCAATGTATCATCACCTTGAAAGTGATCTATTAAAGAGATGTGCTCAAGGCTGGAAAACCAGGGCAATGGCCACATGTTGTAGAACTTCAGAAGAAAAGTTGCCCAGTTATGTTAAATAACTACAGAAAAGCATGAAAGCGATAAGATATTCTTAAACAATGATAAGAGGTGCTGTTGAAAGAGTGGCACGATGTGAGAGCCTGCACCAGTCCATTCCATAGGAATTCCTGCCAGCCCCATGCACACACAGGCCTCCCCCTCCCTCAGCCCCACAGAGAGCAGCGCTCGTGTTCGTGCTGGGCACGCGGAGAGCTTTCTTTAAATCTTCAGGGCCCCGAGGAACGTTTCTCAGAATGAGACAATGAAAGATTGTGGATGGAAACTTCTTGTACAATTGAGATAAGAAATGCACCCAAAGAGTAAACCATATTGCCTGTCTTGACTACACGGATAGCTTGATGTTACATGATTAACAGCCTGTGTACCTCTACATGATAAAATCCATTCGTCTTAACATTAAAATGTAATTTTTGCTTCGTAATACTTTACTTAGAGCTTTGATTTTGCTTTTAAAATAAGTATGTTTAACTTGCTAATAATGTGGATGGACTCTCTTAATATACAAATTAGAAAGAAAACTATATCAAAGATAGTGAAAGCATGTGGTGCCCTATCAGTCCTGATGATAGAGGTTCTTACTCATCTGCTGCAGAGTCTAATATCAGTTTTTCTGTGAGCTTTATAAATATTATATTATTTGCAGGGATCCAAAGTCCTCTGGTTTAAAAATGCCTTTTCAATTACTCAGTATTTGAGCAACATTGAATACTACTTTAATTTATTTCACTGTGAAGTAAAACGCATCCCCATAAGCCAAAACTGTGTAAGATGCACCAGTAGCTGTTCTGTATGTCATTTCAGTGACCCTGGCAAAGACTTTCAGTCTTTTAATTTCTTTTAGAAGCAGCAAAAATGCACCAACATTTCTGTTAATCTCTTGGGAAATAAAGGAGAAAAAAAATCCCTCCCAGTCTCGTATCTACCCTTGTAATTTAGAAAGGTAGCTCTGGTAACTCCAGTGCTTTGTATGTAAATAAATTGTTGGTTGCTCATTACTTCATGAAAAAAAATAAAAATTAGCAGCTTTGCCACCCACTATTTCTGCATCAGAGCTGAATGAATAGATAATATCAGAAACACCTCATCCAGTTGCTGTACCAGGTTCTGCTAACCGAAACCATAAGCCTCCAGCAGCGAAGTCAGATACCCAATAGTCTCTGCATGGATCAAAGTAAGCCAAACAAAATCTATGTTTTGTACCTGCTCCCAATACGTCTGGGAAGCACTGTTAATGAAAAATGAGGTTGATGTACCTATTGCACACTTTTGGATTATTGTTCACTGCCATCAATCTGAAACCTAATGAAACAGAGACCACCTACAGTGGAGGGATATTGTGTCCATCTGACAAACTGCATCCAATTTACGAACTGATGGGATGGCATAAGCTGCCACTGGTCAGATGATTTCCAGCTCCTGATTGGTCATACATTAAGCGTTAGGAACGGGGCAGTGCCATTTCCACTCTCGTTCTCTGGCAAGAGTAGAAGTATCACACAGTCCCCCATAATTCTGGGATAATGATGGCACGCAAAGTGCCCGTTTCTCCCCGCTGTGGACACAAAAATCGTAGGAGACTTGGCTTCTGCAGCCTGTCTTTATGGAATTAACAAAGAAATACGCTTGCCATGACATATATTGAACCTTTGCAGCGCCTTTCCGGGGAACTTTACGGGCACATGTGTTATGTGTGTCACAACCAAACTCTGCAGGAAGAGATAAAATAGTGCACACATCACACAATGGGTATAAGCAATGGGCAACCCAGGCTCCAACCTGCACAGCACACATAGGTTTTTCCAAAGAAAAATGCTGACTCTCTAAATGGAAGACGTTTTAGTTTCTGCACCTGTTCTGCTCGGTATCTTGTTAGGCTGCTTCTACTTCTACTATATGTCATACTAATAGGGAGAAGCAAAACAGGGAGAAATTATGATGGATATTAGTTGATCCTCTTGTTATTGCTAGATGTGATTATTGCTTTTTCCTGCTTGGGCTCCCTCAGTGTACTCCTAACAGAGTGCAGCTTATTAAAAAGCTCTGCTGTTTAAGTTTTACTGGCATAATAACCAGCTCTCTCTTTATGGTTGTTCTGAAGTCGATTCACTGGCCACCTGTCAGTTTGTGAAATAAATGCTAGGTTTTCCTAATGACTATTAAGATTTTTCCTGGCTTTTTCTCCCGTCCTATCTCTCTGAACTTGTCCAGTGCTGTGCTCCTGCTCGTGATTTATGCTTAGCAGGTGTTTGTTTGCTATGGGTTTCTAAATGTTGGCTTCCTACTGCAAGGAAGGAATGGGAAGGTGGGAATGGCTTTATTATATTCTGTATATTGTTCCACAACTCTGCAATGGATTTCCAGCTGACACTCTCTGTGCTGCCTCGTATTAAGCCACAAAACCCTGTCTGCATCAGCAATATACCAACTAATGCAAGGGAATTCACAGTTAAGACTGAAGCTCTGTTATTAACTTGCTATATTGTGCCTGGGTATTGCTGCACAGATTGTTTGGTACATCCCAGGATTGCTGCAGTAGGTAAACAGAAGCAGGTGAACCCACAATACAGCTTCAGTCTTCTCCAGGAGATTCTGTGCCCGACTGTTTCAACCAGCCCTTTTATCTTTCGCTGAATTTTGGCAACTTAAATTTTATCTTTTGCTATTTCAGTTTTTCAGCTTTAAAATGTTTGGTTTGTGATCCAGTACAAAATATCCTTAGTGATCTCTTGTGCAAATACATAAAAGGTTTAGCTAACTTGTTTTAATTGACATAATTCACATAATAGTTTAGATCTACAATGCTAAAAATCATGGCAATTAGTTAATTAGAGCAACCCAATTTTAAAATCATATTACTTACCTGATAAAGTGTAAATGTTCTTGTCAGAAACATTCTAGTGTTTGTCATAAGTGCTTTTTGCCCCTAATTCTCACAGCCATTATTCACTCTAGAGAGGATAACTGCTGCTGTGAAGTTGTGGATGGTTCAGCATTACTACTTGTTTTCGATCCTGTACCTTCACAAACGGTGCAATACTGCAAAAATCTTACCTTTCCTTAGTCTGCAAAAGCCTCTGAGGCTGCTGCTGTCACCTGGGGGGTTGTTCTCCGACGCCTCCTGAGTCAGCAGGAACAAATTTTATAGCCTTCACTGGGCTTTGGGTTATTCTGCATTTTAATACACCTTTCCCAGCACAGCTCCCCCTTTTCCCCAGACAGGTCCCACTTAGCCAGCAGTCATCATTTTTTCCTGTCCTGCAGGGGCTCCATGGCATTTTGGTCACCTTTTTCCCCCAAGTCAGGTCTTGCTTTTTGCCAGTGCTGCTGACTGAGCATGATTTGGGGCCTCCTTTTATTATGACATTCTCCTGTTGTTGCTCGTGTTACCTCAGCAGTCACTGGCATGGTCTGTAGTTGACTCCTACAGTTTTATAAAGTTTTGAGTGCATACAAGTTTATTTACTATCTGACTTCCCTTCATATCATTGAGATATACACTAGAGCAGAGACTGGCTGTCATTTACCAGCAAAAGGTTGTTATTTTTGTTGTTAAGTGTGTGCCTGCTGTTTTGACAATAACTCTTCTGTTTCCTTGTCTCCTCTGCTTAAACTTCCGAGCATAATTTAGAAGGTCTTCTGAAGACTGCTGCTTATCAATATTTGTTAGCTCCATTTTGTAACTCTCGTTTGAGGAAGGTGTCATTTGATTTATTTCTTTATTTGGATATTTACTGCTCTCTAATAAGAGTACCCAGTCAATGCTCTGGGCTCCACTGACAACCTTTTAAATATGCACATAAATAAATAGAATTTCCAGTTGTCACAGGATCCATCAGAGAGTCCAACAACAAAATGGATGTAACAAAAATAATTTGTCCCTACAAAGTGACTGATAGTTCCAGTGGCCCCAATGGAACAGGAGCTGTATATCATTACCATGGAACCACAATGACATCACCAACCCCTTCCACTTGTATTCCTACAGGACAGGGAGAAGGAATGGGCTGAAGGTGACAAAACATGATCTTATAACATGAGGAAAGGCACCTTGCAACAGTTCTAAGAGGGATGTTCTTAATATCTGTAGGAAAACTTGAGAAAGAAATCTGAATGTAAGAGACCCTGATTGCATCACTTTAATCATTAGTCTTCATGTGGTGCACCAATTTAGGTGGATTTTCCCATAATTTTATTGGTTTGAAAAGAGCACAGCCAAGCTTATAACAGGCCTAGTTGGTGTTATAGCAACAAATGTAACAAACCACAGCCAGACAGAGTCACACACACGTGTGGGTTTGTAAAACCTGAGCTCTGGTGTTGTACCACAGTGGAATCCTGTTTTTCTCCCAAAGTCTGCAACAATGCTGAATTGAGCAGAGAGACTGTACTGAGAGAGGGACTTTCTTTATATAGTGTTTGAATCACCTTCCTTTTAAAATGCTGCTAAGTGTGAAATTAGTGTTGTCCCTCAAAGTGCATCAGAATAATTGTCAGTAATTGAACACAGTTTGGGGGCTAATTACACAAAAATTGATATTAAAAGAATACTACAGGATTGATTGAGTTTTGCAGTTCATATTTAGTTTGCAAATTACTAGAGTTGAAAGGCTGTGGTAAGAAACAATAAAAATCCATTCAAAGCTGCTAAAGCAAATTAAGGTTTACTACTCCTTTGAAAGACAAATGATCCAAGTGAGGTAATGTAGGGAGAACAGTAAAAATGTTCCTGAAATTTACCATAGATTTTAAATATCAGGTGTTTCAGGATGGTGGTGTTGAACACATTTAATTTTCCCAACGAATTTCTGTTTAAATGGTTGGGGGTTTTGCTTTGGGTTGTCTTTAAAATGGGAAGAAATACTTTCTTTATGTGTTTTGTTGAGGATCTGTGAGTCAGAACGTGCCAAGATGTGAGATGTCAGTTTGGGGAAGAATTTTTAAACACCAGCTGATCAAATTATATATAAAGTGTCATAAATAAATGACATTTTGACAGAAGTAGAGCTTTTTAAGTCTGAACTTACCACTGTTCCTTGTGCTGGAAGGAATTTTGTGACCCCAGAAGCAGTTGAGGTGCTCCCAAATGTTCCTGGAAGAAGTCAGAAGCACGGAGGGTCTCAAGGTCCGTTGAGTGTTTCGTTGCAACCAGAAATTGCTGGAGAGTCAGGGGAAAAAAGGAAGTCAAATAAACATTTATCTACTACAAAAATTGATTGAAACAGAAACATTTTCTTTTTAAACTGGAAGCATGGGAACACCACTAAGTGATATTTTGAACATACATGTGACAGTGCAGAATGTTTAAGATGTAAATATTTCACTCATGGAACATTTGAAAGGCTGGATTGAAACCATTTATTTCTGTTGTTTTTTTTTTTAATTGAAGCTTATAAATATTGTGAAGAAGACAATAACCTTTTCAGATTTATTTTCCTATAAAAATGTTATTTGCTCTTTATAAAAATATCTAGAGAAAGTTTGTCAGAATGATTGCTGACGTTTTTCTCTTACTGAAAAATGGTAACTCTAGAAAAAAATTATTACAATGACATTTTAAATAAATACAGTCTAGAGAAGTATAAAATAAACATTCTTGTAAAATATTTTAAAAATCTAGTAAATTTTGTGGTCCATGTAATTGTTTGGAGGGTGAATATCTTGGTATAATTACTTATCATTTTACAGGATTATTTTATCAAGTAATTTGGATATTACAAAAACAGTGAATATTTACATTAAGAACAACAATATTTCTAAATGAAATAACAAGTTTTGGGAAAATAACTGAAAAGCATCTGAGTTAAAAAAAACCAAAAAATATTTCTCCCAATAAATACAAAGTTCTAGCTAAACAATTAAAAAAAAAAAAAAGCAAAGAAAAATAATCCTATCAGGATTAAGAGTATGAAGAAAGACTGCATAATACTTGCAACCTCTAAATGAGCATAAATAAGGAATTCAGAAATAGTTTGTGATGTTATAAATAAAGGCAACACGATAATAGTTTTATAAGTGGCGTGAAATGTCACAGTGGTAAATACAGGCAACAAATCTAACAGCCACTCACTGCTCAGGTACTAAACTACTAAATACTAAGGTAACAGAATTCTCAAACTTCTTTTAGTGCAGAAAAGTTTCTTGCCTAATGCCCAAGAAATCAGGATTCTTTTAAAATAAAGAATATCCCCTATACAAATGATTATTTTGATAAATCCCACTGTCCTCGCTGAAACCTTATTTTATATTAACGGTTCTGTTTGGAGAAATTGGTGAGTTATTGTGAGTGTTCTGTTTATCACTGCCATTTTAAAACAGGCTTAACTGAGATTTGAATGCTACATTCCTGGCAGCAATTTGCACTGCTGTGAATGTTGCCTTCTCTTTAGCTGCCTTAGAAATACGAACCCAAGGTCAACCTGAAAACAGATTTTCCTTAAAAATAATCCTTCCTTACAAGCAGCTCACACAGATCACTGACTAGTACAACATAACTGTAAAATTACGCAGTTTCACCAGGAAAATCTTTCAAGCTTTCAATAGCTTCAAGGTCATGTAGTTTGAAGAAGGAAACTTCAAAGATCATCCCCAAATCCGAGTCCTTTTATATGACTGCGCTCATAGCAAAGCCCCTCCCTGTTTTCTTTGTGGTCTTTCATGATTTAATTAGAAACATCTTTAAAAAATGACTTTTTTTTTTACTGTAGTAGTATAACATCTGCATTTTCAGCAGTATGTTGCTTAATCACATTGGGTTATAAAGTGAAATTCTTAGTACTCAGTGTAATATCTTGTAGAACCCAAGCGTTTGGTCTTTTAGTGTCCCTGACTCATCAGCTTACATTCTTTCATCAACATTTTAATAGCCATTCTTAAAAGTGTAATTTGGTGGATAATTCTCTAAACCTGTTTCAGTTTTGTTGTTTCTTTATAAAGTTATATCCCTGCACGTGTTTTCTCTCTGTGATTACTGCACCTGAAACCAATTTCAAGCACAGACTTAAACCCAGGGCCAGAACAAGCTCAGAAGGTGATAGAGCTGTGCTGGGTTATGTTGTGTTCTGAATCCTGGGCAAGAAAATTTTGTCATTGTCAAGAATTTCACTTTTAGCTCTGATTGAAACGTGCTTTTTTATTATATACCTCTAATATTATATATCTAATGCACTGTATGTAGTGTCATTTGAGTATAAAGGAGGGAATCCTGGTTTAACCCCGTGCTCAGTCCCTTTGTGCTTTGCTGGATGTGGCTCTTGCTGTTGACAGTTTCTGTCTCTGTTCCCTTGTAGACTCTGAAAATCAACTACCAGCACATGATCTGGGTAGAGCATTTATTCACTTATTCACGTCTTTCTAGGTAATGAGATTGAAATAAAAATCCCTCCAGTAAAGTGAGATATCTACGAATTTTGGATCAAAATTTCTCTGAGGATAGCACCTACTTAAACCTGTACCTGATCTGGACAGCTCTGAAATAAATATTTTTTACATGTTTACTTAAATATTTTTCTTGGCTATGGGGAAGGGTAAATAGTCATGGTAACTGGGCTCTTTAACACAAGCAAGTTAACTATAAGAATAATTATTTCCTTATTCTCAATTCACAAGTAGTTATCATAGAAACCAGGGGACTGACTGAGGAAGCCCAAAAGAAAACTAGCGTTGAATTATTTGTGAGATCTAACATCACTGAACTGCATAAAGTTTAAAGAATCTGAAAAAATCCCCCAAAATCAAAACCCTCAACCAAATAAAAACATTTGATGTTGAACCTGAAACTTGCAAACATACTTTAAGTTCTGATTTGAAAAGGGACTATGCAGTACTGACTTTTTCAGTAGCTGTGTGCACTATGGAAGCCATATGTGCCTACTTGGTTTTTTTAACCACATTCTGCAAAAAGGCCAAAAAACAAGATGGTATTTTCTTCCTAAGTGTTAAAAAAAAAACAACAAACCCAACCCAAACTGCATATAGATCTCTATTACATATTTAATGACACAAATATGTTGCCATAAGAATAAAGGAATGTACCGGGAAAGGAAAAACCAAAATCAGAATTTTTGTCCTTATTTTCACATGGTGTTGCTGAAATCTTCATGTCTTGGCATGCCCACTTCTCACTTTCTTAAGAAAAATCTTTAAAGCACTTTGGTCCTTGAAGCACTGTTGGACTGAACATATGCTTTTGACCCACAAGTGACAATTATGAAGCCTTGTTCCAAAGGTGGAAGGACTCTGCATTGCAGCTTATATTACTAGTTAATTCTTTGAAAGGTAATAATCAGAGCCATTGTCTGAACTCAATCTCATTACACATGAGGAAATCTGGAATAAAGCTACTGCAGGCAGGTTAAAGGCAATGAACTAGATCAGATTTATATTGGCTCGGCTGAGATCATAAATTGGACCTGTAACTGGACCTTTAGTTTTAAATAAAACATTTGCAATTGGCTGTTCTGCCCAGGGAACAGACAACTGTATCTTGCCAGAGTTCTGAACCTGTTAGAATTAGCTGGGAGAGAGTGGCTAGATGATGAACATGGAATTCCAGAAAAGAGAGAGAAGAAAAACTGGAAATAGGAAAGTGCTGAATTTGAAGTAGATTATCCTTAAACTTGCATCTGCATTAACAGTGTTTATGGACCAGGAGGAGTGTGAATTTAAAGTAAAATATGTGTTGATGAGGGTGTGATGTCCATGTCATGCTTTTCTTCTTTTTGCTTTAAAAAAGCTGTAGTTGGGTTCATTTGACTGAATGGCCATTTGCAGCTGGACTGCATTAGATGCATTTCAGCATTTTCCACTTCAGTTTAATCCAAAAGGAATTTGGTTCATGTGCTTCAATACCACATCATGATGTGAATCAAAGTACAGGACACCAGGACAATCAGAGATTCACTTCAAAAGCACAGTGCTGATGTGAACTGAAATGGCTCTAAAATGAGAAGAACTCTCAGGCACAGAGAGGTGTTTGTAGGCTTTGTTGAAGGTTGTTTATACTCTCAGTGGAAACTCTTAGAAAAAGGCCTTGAGTGAACCTTCCTTAGAAGAAGACAGGGCAAGACAGCCTGTAAATGTACTGCTTTAAACAAAGAAATAAAATTATCTCGTGAAGATCAAACTGTGCTTGCTGGTTTTTATCCAGCCAATGTAAGAATGGTGTATAAGACATCTCTTAGGACTGAATTTCTCCTAAAGGAATTTTTTTTTAAAAGAAACAAGGACTTACTGAGATAACATTAACTCTCCTGCTGCCCTTTAAGAGAAAACATCAATTGCAGTGCAGATACTTTTGGTCCAAACCAGCTAACCTGGTTAAGGGCTGAAAGAGAAGCTTTTGCTCCCTTTCACAAGACATTTTCCATGTGCAGTGCAGATGAAAGCCCTGATGTGCTGATGGTGCTGTTACACCCAGATGGGCCAGCAAGTCAACTTGCAAAAGAATCCCAAGTTAGTTGCTAACAGGTCATCTCCAGGGCAAGGCAGGAACTGAGGAATCCTTCAAAGAGAGAAGGCTTGATAGGATGCTCACATGGTGACTGGACTGTCTTGCCCACGCACCTGCTACAGGCACCTCAGCTCCGGATTTGTGCTTCCAGAGCTTGTCTGGAAAAGGCCATGTCATCTGTTTAAAGTGCCTTCATTGAGTATTTAATCAGCCTGGATGGCTTTGGTAGAAGCAGGAAGATCTGCTGTGTTCTGAAGAAGAAGGGGTTTGGGCACAGAAGGGACAGCTGGGCCACCAGTGTCCTCAGCGCTTTCAGCAGTGCAGCTCTGCATGGAAGGGGTGTCTGTCTGTCCTGGTCTGACCCGGGGGCACAAAGCTGGGAGTTAACTGTGCCCTGCAGAGACAGCCTAGATGGAATTAGTTCTTTTGTTTAAGAATAAACTGAGTCTAACCTCTGCTTGGGGATGTGGTTCCTTCAAGACAAAAAGGCAAATAACTCAGTTACATTTAGAAAAATGGCTTTAATGAAGAGGAAAATGGCATTTAATCTTTCGGTGCATCCTGCATTTTATGAGTAAATTTCATGGGAAACTGTGTAAGTGGAACATAATTATTTTTAAAATAGAATCCTTTCTTATTAGCTACATAACTGTCGTGTGTACACAAAGCACCCTGCTGAACAGACAAAAGACTGGAAAAGTTTCCTGGAGAGTTTCTGCTATTGAAAGAATAAAAATTGAAGCAGTGGGATGAACTTTTGGTTCACAGACTCAAATACTGAATGTTAAACCTGGCTGAGAGAAAATCACTTTATTCTGATAACCGGATTAGTTAGAACAAAAATAGAGAAAATTAAGAACTGAAGAGCAGAAAATTAAGGTGGAATGCAATTTAAAGAGTAAGTAGATGATGTAGGCTTTCATTTTCATCCCCCCTAGTGTCCAGCTAATTAAAATTACAATCAAAATGAAAGTCTAAACTTGTAAATATCTTTAGCTAATGATTTTGTCTTTTTAATCATCTTCACATTCAAAGACTTTATTTTATTCATTTAGAGCTTTACAATAAAATGAAATTGTTTTCCTCTAGTAAAATCCTTTTAATTTTCGTTATCTGTTTCTTTTTTACATCATACATTATGTATTCTTCTCTTTTCTTTCTAATTTCTGCACAGTATTCTCTGCTCTTATAGTCTGTGCTCCTCTTAGGCACTTACTTAAAACAGTTTTAGCACTTTATTACATTTAACTTTATAATATAAACTCTTTGCTTAGTGTAAAATCACTGGAGTTGCATCTTCTGGCTTTCTTAATTTAGACAAAGAGTAACTTTCTTCATAAGGTGCATATACAGTGAAGTTTTAAGCCATAATCCCATAATATTATTATTCTGTCTACATTTAAAATTTCTTTGCTTCTGAGACAAATAATGGATTTTCCCCAATTTATCAATGGGTATTTGTCAATAATGGCTGGCTTTTTCTGCGAGTTTTGAGGCAACTCTTTAAAATGGTTCAAGAGTTAAAAGTAGTTAAACATAATCATAATGAACTGGGTAGCAAGGACTTACCTTTCTGACCTTGGTGTTCTAAAAATCCTGACCTTAGTGTTCTAAAAATTAGTGTTTACTGAGAGTATACTTAGCACTTCCCAACACTCTGGGAATAGGGAGTAGTTTTATCATTTAAAAATGCAAAGTTAGGTCCTCTTAGTTTTGCATGCTTATTTCACTGTGCAGTTTATAAAAATGTATTTTGTTTTGCTTCAAAATTTTTTTTTATTATGCAAGTTTTCTAAATTGTGGTGAAGCAACCTGGAAAATGATGCTCAGTTTTTTACTTATCTGGGAAGATTTACGCTGTCAGTCATCACTCTGGTAACTCTGAATTATCTCCAGGTAAAACCTATTAGCAGCACAGAAGACTCTCAGAATTGTTATGAAGTGTCTGACAAACGTTTTAGGGGTTACAACATCTCTAGCTGGAAGAAGGCCTTTTCATTTGTTGATCTGTGCTTTGATTTTCTTGGGAATTAACAGGAAGGCGTGTTAGCATTACAGTGTTACCTTTTTGTGAGATAATGATCAGTTTTATGTTGGTGGATGAATACACATCTCTCCTGAAATAGTCCCACTTTACACTGGTAAAAGCAAGGCCAGATTTTGGCCCAGCATGTTTTGGAATCTCTAACAACATACATTCCCTGGTTCTGAAAGGCAACTTTCATCTGGCTGCTTGGAAGATCTCCAAGAGTTTGTGCTCTGCAAGGTTTGAAAGGGATTAACTGCAGACTCTTGTGCCTTTAGAATCAATATAACATATGGATTGGCCTCGTCTTCTTGAGTTGCCACTGACTGCAAAGGGAGTATTTGTACAATTGGGAAAGATGTAATTGGGCTTAAAGGCTGTGTTTTTTATGTGCAGAGTTAATTTATGTGAATGCATTAATGCTCATGCATCACTCATTTTGCTGGGTCATCTGCCAAAAACAGGTCCAAGATTTTGCCTATATGTACAAAGATGAACATGAGCCTTGAGAGCCCTCTAGCCCCCAAACAGTTTAAAATAGCCAGTGCTCACTTAATCAGTTCATGCTGTTAAGAGATAATCGGTGTTCTTTGTTTGGTCACCTGCATATGTTCTCTAATGCTAAACTTCTTAAATACAGAAGAATAATTGCATTCAGAATCATCACAACAGAGGCATTTGCTGCTTCAGACACATTTGTGAGCAGCTGCACTGTTTTGTACCAAGGTGTTATGATGGACATATCCAGTCCATTCCGAGTTTGGGAATTCTTAATGATGCAAAATGGTTTTAAAACAGCCAGAAATAAAAGCACAGTGTAGACAACTCAATGCAAATGGAATCATAGAATGGTTTGAGTTGGAAGGAGCCTTAAAGACCATCCGGTTCCAAACCCTGCTATGGGCAGGGACACCTTCCACCAGCCCAGGTTGCTCCATGCTCTGCCCCAGGGGTGGGGCAGCCACAGCTTCTCTGGGCAACCTGTGCCAGGGCCTCCCCACCCTCACAGGGAGGAATTTCTTCCTAACATCTAACCTAAACCTACTCTGTCTCAGTTTGAAGACAATCCCCCTTGTCCCTCACTACACTTCCTGATGAAGGATCCCTCTCCAGCTTCCTTGTAGGCACCTTGTAGGCCGCTGGGAGATCCTCATGGAAATTCATCAAGAAGTACTTTGTAGTCAGAGTTTCTTGGATAAACAAAGGAAGTAGTACATACAAAAACTGTGCCAGTGACAGGCTGTGGCCTGGCAGGGTGGTGGTTCTCACCTGCGTGCTCTTACAGCGTCTGATCTCACATCTTGTCTCCAAAAGGGGTGGTTTGGTGTGTGGATGTGCTCTCCTGATGCTTTCTTCGTGTCAGCTCTGGTGCTTGTGTCACAGCTTCAGCAAGTCAGGCCAGCCTAAAATGAACTCAGCAAAAAAAACCCAATTAGCTTTTCATCAGTGAATGAACTGTCCCATTGTACAAGGGGATTGGTTGGGAACCAGAGCTGGGGTAAGAGAGAAGAGGCTGCAGGGCCAGGACCAGGGTGAAGGCAAGAGCACAACCGCCCTTGGCAGCAGCACTGAGCCCTTCAGGGAGAGCGGGAGGACAAGAAAATCTTTTTCAGGTAACAACTGCTGGTTCAGTCACAGAAAACTCCATCGAGTCCCAGTGGCTGTTGATGTGTCTGAGCTGGGGTTTAAAACAGTGGAAAGCTGAAGCTCAAAGAGAGGGGGAAACTCCTTAATTAGCTGAGGACAGGGTTTAAGTGCTAGTTTTTGATTGGTTATGTTTTTTTTTTTAATCTAGGACCTCAGTGAAGTTTCAGTGGTTGTCTGTATGTACAACTTTGGTGTTCTTTTTAGGCATAAGCAAGCAAATTTACCTCCAGCAGAAAAAGGTACAACTGCATAATATTGAAAGGAGTATTTTGATATATTTATTTTTGAGATTTTACATATTTTTTACCTTTAAGAATTACTAAGGGCTGGAGTTCTTAAACTGTGGCCTATGGTGCATTTTGTAGAGGCCTTGTGAAGTTGTTCTGTGCTTTTTAGGTCTGTAGAAAAATACTGAGTATATTTTTCCCTACAAACAACTACTGGCTTTAACACCAGGTTTTGTGATCACTAGGTAGATGAGGAATCGCCTCAGAAGAGAGGTGCTGCTCTCTGAAACAGAGATGTTTTGTGTTGAAAATTAACCTAAAGTGGGAAACTTTAAACACACTTGATCAATGGCTTTTTGCGCTTGGTAACATTGACCTTAGGTGGCTTGAAATACTATTGTAATTTTTCAATTTGCTATTATAAAAATCCAGATTTCATAAACATATTATTATCTTTCCATTATGATTACTTATTCCCTCGAAGGTCTACAGTGCTTTTCTGCAACATCTAAATGGAAATGGGATTAGGATGAGATTCTGTCACTCAGGGGATTTGTGGAAAAAGGTGGGGATATGCACAGAAAAGGTCATTTCTTAGGGGCAAGATGAATAAAATGACACTGAGTTATGAAAAAGGACAGCAATAACAGTATTAGCCATTTTGCATGGCTTTAAATTGATTGTTTTATGCTGGAGACACTAGTGCTGGAGAACAATGCACTGTTATTTTCTTGCCTTTCATAATATCCTTACATAAATAAAAAAAACCCAACTCTTAAAAAAAAAAATCCACATTATTTCAATGTGGTTCCATGTGAATTCTGTGTTCAGTGAACGTATTTGCTGTCTGGCTGTTTGTGGGATAACTTTACTAACAACATCTAGCCCAGAAATGGATGCTTTCAAGTGTTTGCTCTGCACATTGTTTGTTTTGCCACTCAAGTCATGATTTTATTGATGACTTAACCGGCTGAATGTTATATTTGAATGGACAAATAATTAATAACACACTGCATTATGATTCTTCTGGCAAACAGTAATTGTAATTAAATTGGTAAATGTGGCCTGTGGCTGAAAGATCAGATCAGCACTCCTTTCCCTTGAGAAGCAGACCTGTCCAACTTCTCTCTTGCTCTTGTTTTGCTGCTTTCCTGTTTTAAAAATGCTGAAGGTCTGTGTGCCTGCTCAAAGTAACATGACGTTTCAAGTAATTGCATTTTTATACAAAGTTTAAAAGTGTGCAGTATGTACAGTGTAAGATAATGATTAATGTTTTCTGGGCCTCAGTACTAAAATGTTTTATGGTTCTGATATATTACATATTTTTATTTAGATACATTGCTCCATAACTGCACTTGGCTAAAGTGACTTGACATTCTTTTTATGACAGAGACTACGATAAACATGGCCAAAAGAAGAAGAAAAAAAAAACCCTTTTCAGCGTTGCATTTGATGCAATTAAGAAATAATCAGTGTACCCGGTAAAGTACAGAGATACTTCACAATTAAATAAGGGGATTTCTAGTGTGTTGCATACTGAGAGAAAACAGCTCAAGAGAAGAAATGTTTTGGTCAAAATTAAATTAATAGATAAGATGAAGGATGCAATTTGCTATGAAGCGTTGGATTAACTGCTCATGGCTGGGCAGTGAAAGGCACATGAACAACTGTGGGTGTAGGGGTTGAACACCGGTATTTGAAACTTTTTTGCACATGTATTTAGAAAATGTTTCTTGTATTGGTAACAGTCTTGCATTGTCCAAGGTTTCCAGGACCAAAAGGGTGCCTGGAGCAACATTCTTGCAAAGAACTGACCTGCTACAATGTGTCTTTCTGGGTACTCCGGTGATTTTCAACTTTTTTTGTTGTTGTTTTCTTTGCTAATTCACCTATCCCTTTGTAAAACTGTGTTTTCTGTCTCAAACCTGTCTAATTAGGCAGAAAGCTGTGTTTTCTTTCCCAAACACGTCTCTTTAGGCAAAAATTGGCTCTTGCCAGATCTTGCATGATGCTCAGCCTCAGTGATATGCGAAGTCTTAATGCTTTCTGAAAAATACACAATAAACACCAATGTTTAAGTTTTCTCCTCAGGCTTCCCCAAACACAGTGGCTGTCAGGTCCTGGCAGCAGCCCACCCTGAAAAAAGAGGGAGGTTTTTATCCCAGCGCCCGTGTGAGAGGGCAGAAGAGCATTTATGACCCTCAACATTCTGTGACGGGAAACAGCATATGATTTTTAAAAAAGAACGCGTAAATCGATCTAGAAGTAACCCCTTGCCTTGGGTGGCACCGCTACCTGCTTGGCACAGCCAGCTGACTGCTACGAGCTTGGCTTAATAGCTATCCTTACTTAATAGTTACTCCTTACTTAATCACGGGCGCGCGTCCCCTCAGGATGCGCTGAAGCGCGAGGAAAACCCCCGTCCCGGCTCTGCTCCAGCGAAAGCCGCGCTCCTGAGCGCTCTGGAAAAGCCGCTCCTCGCCGTGGGAGAGAAGCCGGGGCTGCTCCTCGGGGTTCTGTGGGAGCTTCACCTCACGAGCTCTGGGAAGGGGCCGTGTGTGCGTGTGGGTGTGTGGCGGTCTCTCCCTCACGGTTTCCCGCCCTCGGCACGCTCGCGCCCCCTCAGCGGCAAGCGCTGCCCCCCTCAGAGGCACGCGCAGGCCCCTCAGCGCGGCGCGCGCGCCTCCCCTCAGCGGCACGCGCTCTTCACCCCCCCCCCGCCTCAGATGCGCTCTCCCCCTCAGCGGCAGGCGCGCCTCCTCTCGCCCCCCCTTCAGGTGCGCCTCCCCTCAGGTGCCGTCCTTTTAGGCGCGCTCCCCTCAGGTGCGCTCCTCCCCTCAGGTGCGCCCCTTTCAGGCTTCGCTCCTCCTCAGGCTCCCGCTCCTCCCCTCACGGGCCCGCCCCGCCCTCCCGTCCCCTCGGGCGCGTGCGCCGCCCGCCGCCGCGGGCGGGGCCTCGCATTCGAACGGCGGCGGCGCCGGGCGGGAACATGGCGGGATCGCGGGCGCTGCTCCGGCAATTCCCGCTGCTGCTGCCTCAGAACCGCCAGGGAACCGCCTACGAGGGCTTCGTCACCGCCCAGGTACCGCGGCCCAGGTGTGAGGCGGGGTGGAGGGGGCGCTTCCCGCCCCGCCGCGTCTGAGGGGGCAGCGCTTCCCGCCGTGCCAAGGGCTGGCGGCTTCTCGGCCGAGCCGCTGGGAATGTGGGTCTGGAAATGCCGTTTTCCTGCCGTCCCTGATATTACAGTATTTTTACTTAGATAGATTCCCGGGTTTGCCCGGAAAATGGCTCGCTGGTACCTCCCGGGCCGGATTTGTTGCGCTGCCAGATGTTTTTGGGCTACGTTGAATGTGCCCGCGCCCGCGGCCTGTGGTAAAAGTTGACGCAAATGTCTGACTGTGGGTGTTTTGCTTTCACTTAACTTGTGAGGCTTCAGCTGCAGCGGCGGCATCGTCCCTCAGGATGTGGTAAACGCGGTGCAGGGAGCAGAACAGCTCCTGAGGCAGGGGCAGAGGGGTGCTCTCAGCACAGCTCTGCCATCGCAGGCACTGTGCGGTGACCCCGCAGCCCTGGAGCACTGAAATGTCACACAGACACAGCTCTGAACAGGCGTATTTTAATTTAGAAGTAGTGTGTTTTTCTCTTCCTCTAAAAATAAGTAAAAGTCAAAAGATGTGGGCTGTGTCACACTCGCGTGGTCAGAATTGCAGTTTTGTGGTCAAAATCCAAAGGGTTTTGGGTGTTTTTTTTATTCAAGTTTCACTAGACATGTGCAAAGGTGTGCTTATGTTTGCATTACTTTAACAACTGCGGCTTTGGAAGTGCTCTATGTGTTATAATTCATCCTGGAATTAATGGGAAGGTTAAGATACGGGTGTGAGTGTCTGTTCTCAGAGGTGGTTTTTAATGAGTGCCAAGGCCGTAATGTCTGAGGTTATATACTTAAATTAGGCTTACACTAAACATCACCTTTGGAAGCAACTGGTGTTGCTGGTGAGTGGGCTCTATTCAGCCCTGAAACAGGGACCTTGCTTTTTTCCTCATGAGCATCACAGAAACAGTGAGGCTGAAAGGAACCTCTGGAGTTCCTCTGCCAGGATCACCTGGAGCTCAAGACCATTTGCAGTCAGGTTGCGAAATTCTCCAAGCACAGAGACTGTGCAACCTCTTGGATGGCCTGTTCTAGTCTTTGACTCCTCTCATAGTTACTGGGGTTTTTCCATTGCATTTGGGTGAAATGTCCTGTATTTCAGATTATATCCATCACCTCTCATCCTGTCGGTGTGTGTCACTCAGATCTGGCTATACCTTTTTTATTGCTCCTCCACTAGGTATTTGTACTCACTGACAGGATCCTTCCCTGATCCTTCTTTTCTCCAGGCTAACCAGTCCCAGCTCCCTCAGGCTCTGCTGGTGTCAGAGGTGTTTTGAGCTCTAAATCACCTTCCTATCTCCTCACTGAACTTACTCCAGTATGTCCAAACATTGCTTGTGCACTCCATACTTCAAAGTGTGCTAAGCTGGAACAGCCTCTGGAATTAAAGTTTTGACATGAGTTATCTGCCCTCTTCACTTCAGGGAGGAGCTGAACCTACTCACAAACCTTCTTGATGCCAGTTTTAGTTTGATCATCCCATAAGAAAGTAGAAGGAAGATCTCAAGGGGGACTGAAAACACAAGTGGGTGGCATTTGGGAGCTGCCCCCTATGGATTGCACTAAGAGGAAAAAAAAATTTCATTCATGTGCTTGGGACTGTTCTTGTTTACAGTTTCTAAAACCTCGCTGGAATGTGCTGTGGATCAGTGCCCAAGTTTCTTTTTACTGTAGTACTTTTATGACATGAGTCTGTTTTGTCTTTTAGTTGAGTTGAAGACAGACTTTCATGTACTGCAGCATGACTTAGATTAAATTATGTTTTTTGGTTTTGTCCAGATTTAGATAATGTTTATTTTTCTTCTGAAAGGTGTTATTTTTGCTTTATGGGATGTGATGAAGAGTTTTTACTGAATATTGTGAATTAAACATCAAGAGTGTTTCAACTTCAGAATTAAAATCTGCATTACTTGTATCTGTCATTCATGCTTCTTTTTATCCCTAAATAAAGAAATTCTGAATAATGTTCCTGAAAATCAGATAAGACAAAGTTTCTTTCTTAGTAGTTGATCTGATGGGGAATACTTCCCAGAAGCCTCTAATATTTTTCTTTACTGACCTTCCTATTAACTGTTTCTTTTCAAGGGTAGAGATTTCCACATCAGGGTATTGTTACCAGAGGATTTGCAACTGAAAAATGCAAGGTGAGAGAGTTTTACCAAAGCAGTTTGTAAGTGTGCTATAACAAAGTTTATTTTGATAAAAGCGATGATGGACATGCACGTGAATCATTCTTTCCTGCAATATCAGTGTTATTAATTAATTCTTACTGGCTTCAACTTAGCTTTGCAACAAAACTGCACAGCATCGGTGTTAATAAATGCTGACAATAAACATTGCCTATATCAGTATATTTTGTTGTTAATTAACTTTGAAACTTGTTGCAATTAATTGGTTGTATTTATATATGAAGCAACGTATTTGGGGAAAAAACGGTCACTTAGATTGTTTATATGTCACACTTTGGGAAACAGAAAATCCACATCCATGGATTAGCCTTTACCTTTGTATTCCACACTCCTGCCCAGGCCAGCCCGCTCTGAACTGTGAGCAGATGGGGTGTTCCAGGGCTTTATTGCAGTCGAGGGTGGGTAATTAAAACTGCATTATAGGTAACTTTGACATTTCCAGGTTATCACTTTTAAATATTAGTGTGTTTTATGACGGCACAGTAGCTTGCAAGAATTATGTTGTTGTCTCCAGCAAAGAACAGGCTTTTGCAGGTAAATGCTTAATTTTTAATGGGCTTTGGGATAGTGACATTTGGAAGTTTTAAGTAACTTTGAACAAGAAACTCAAAGCTGTTTTGAAGTATTGTTTACTTCCTTTGGGGTTTTTTTGAGGAAAACTGTTGTGCTGTTGTGTGCAGCAGGTTTTCTGCTCTCTTTTAAAAGTCCTGTACTGTGAATTTAAAATTTATATAAATTACTGTTTGTCCAGGATAGAGTGCAGCTGGAGTCTGAAGAAGATCCTGCATCGATATCAGCATATTTTAAAGCAGGTATACAAGTTTAAAACCATTTCTTTCAAATACATTCTTAAATGTATATTTATAATATTTCTGAAGAGGTTATGCTCATACAGCTATTCTAAAAGTGTCAAAGAACCCTCATTTCATTGTGTAGCCAAGATTTATTTTCAAGTGCCTGAGAATTTAGTAAATATTTATTTTTATTCAAGCTTTATTCTTTTTTTCAAGATTGAGCTAGAACAATTTTTAATAAATGACTGCTGACATTTTACTGGAATTTTTCTTTAATCTCTCAATTAGAAACAGAGTTTGTCTTTTTTATATATATTTATTTTTTTACAAGTTGTTCATAATGCAAAGAAGAGAATTCATGTTAATTATTGATAGGCCTAGTTCACCCTCTGTTGTATACAGTCAAGTAAAGATTTTTTCAGTAAAGTTTCCCGTGCTCTGGGAGATCTGCTCTGTAATTGAAATATTTAAACTTGTGATATACAGTTGGGTTTTTTTTTTCTTTGTTGATTTGACAATACTACAAAGTTGGACTGAACTACTACAAGTTATGAGTTGAAGAAAATGAACTAATGCTGTGTTTCCTCCAGAGGCTCCACAGCTGCCCAGATCTTGTCAGTTTTATGGTGGAGCTGAGAACTGTTTTGGTAGGTGACAAAATATATTTGTGGGAGATGGGATGTTCTGAGAGCTTTGGGTTTCACTCTCATTGGCTTACAGGTTACTCTTTGATAGATTTATGGCTGTGGATAGATTTTTTTAGGAAGAGATGATTTTGTATGTGTGCTGTTCATGTACTATTTGTATAAATATCGTTTAAGATTTTAAGTGACTGTATTCTTGGGAAATTTTTATAGAAAAATTGAAATCCCAGCAAGGAATCTCAATATAGAGCCATCCTCTCCAGTGATTTTCTTGGAATTCCTGGTATTGTCCAGATGGTAAAGCTTGTAGTCATACAAAGGCTTATACAGTCAGTGGATTGCTGAAGGTACTTTCACCTGTGACAACTCGACCAATAAATGCAGGGGCCTTTTTTTGATAGTTCAGAGCCTGCATTTGAATCTTTTAAAAGATTTTCAAGTCTGGGGTTGAAGAGCAGCAAAATCTTTGGTTAACAACATTACACAGACACATTCTATGAACATTCTTCATCCAACCAGCTTAACTTTAGGAATAAAACACAAGAAGTATTCTTCAAAACAGCAACACAACTCCCTCCTGGTGCTGCTGCTCTGCTCTGCTTGGAATAGGACTGAGTGAGGATGTTTACTTTGGAATATTTCACAATAGTTGTTCTGATCCATTTGCCTGGATACACAAGCACTCAGAAAATGAGAATTCATTCAAAATGATGATCCTCAGATAGTGCAGAGAGTAAAAACATAGTGTAGGAGAACTGGACAGAAATGATTGTTGAACTTGTTTTATTATAAATTATATTTTTATTTCAATTCAGTTTATTTTAATTTAATAATTTTATTCTAAATTTCATTAATTTACTTCTCCTGTAAGCATAATTT